GGGCTGGGGATTTAGCTCAGCGGCAAAAGCGCCTGCCTGGCAAGTGCAAGGTTGTGAGTTCAGTTCCCGGTACCGGAGAAAAACCAAAAAAAAAAAAAAAGTGAGCCTGTCACCAAGAAAAGAAAAGATGTGGTTGCAAACATAGTCACTAAGGGATGTGCAAGGCAGCCAATCACAGAACTTACTGTCATATCCATGATTTTTTAAAAACTGGAAACTATACATCACTGTCCTCTGTTAATCAGAACCTGCTGCCACATTCTGCTGGGTGGACGGCCATTTCTTTCCGATGTCAGTTGATTCATATGCATTAGGTGGTGTGACACTACTAAGGCCCTGTCAGAGGTACAGAAATGGAAAAGATTATGCGCACAGGGGGTCTCATGGGGTGTATGAGTTTGAATGCCAACAACTGCTACTTCAGAGCCAGTACAGCACAGAGCGGGAGCTCAAGTAGGAGCATCAGGATAGGGCCTGAGCATGCAGCAACTTCAGAGAAGGGTAGAATAGGTATCAGTGGTGTCACGGGGTGGGCCCTAGAGGAGCAAGACCAGGTCCATGAGCAGGCGAAGCACACTGAGTCAGGCCAACTGTGTCTGCTGAGAGACACACTGGCCAGACCAGCAGAGTCAGGCTGGACCTAGTAAGAACCACAGACAGACAGACTGCCCACATGGCAGAGATGAAGTAAGGAACCTTCCACCACGGGGCTTTAAACACTCTCAAGGGTAAAACAAAGAAATCCTCTCCAGTCACCCAACGGCAGGGCCACAGCCCATGGCAACTGACGTGTGTAGGGAGGTAGCAATGGTATTAATTGGGCCACAGGGCAGACTGCTTAGCACTGAGCATGCTCATGCCCAAAACATAGCAGTTAAGAAGTTGTCTAACAACATATGTTTTTAATATGAGCTGTGTGCCTTTCTCTTTCCTCCTTCCTGTACACTGAGAATGCATAAGTTGTTCTCTTTTATGCTGTTCCACAGGCTGTTAAGATGACTTCAGTTTTGTCAATACTCTCTTCCGATTGTGTGTTTTCCAGTTCACTGACACTTTATTTCTCTTGACATACTCTACTGGGAGCTCCTGCTTTGATTTTCTTTACTAGGTTCTAGTAGTCTTTATTCCTATGGTTTCTGTTTGCTACTGTTGGTGCAGCCATACGTGCCTACTGACAGAAACACAATCAAGAAATGCAGTGCTGCTATGGTTGCAAACTAAAATGGCCTCCAAAGCCTCACATGTTTCAAAGGTGATTGGCTTATGAGCACTATACAGACTGGTTATTCGGAGGTGGGTTCTTATTGGAAGAGTCAGGTCACCGTTGATGACCTGGAGGCACTGATCTCCCTCCCAAGTTCCTTCATTCATACTATGCTTCCAGGATGCCACAAGGTGACCAACTGTCTTCTACTCAGGAATGCTTTCCTGCCTTGGAGCCAGCCAACTATTCACTATACATGGGAGCAAAATTCAACCTGTCTTCCCTGAAGTTGTAGGCATTTGTATTGTGTCTCAACAATAAGGAAGGTGACTAAGACAATCGCTAAGCAATTTTGTCACTGGTCAATCATCACAGAGTTTACATAATTTATCTGAGATAACCTACAACTCACACAAGATGTATGGCATAAACTATCACTCCCAGGTTATAGACATACACAGCATGATACTGTAATGACTATTGCAAGCAACTGATAAGTATTTCATTAAGCAAACATACATGAACAAAGAAAAATACTGAAAATGAAATATAAAGGGTAAAAATAGTGCTGCTATATATGGTAGTCATCATGAATGGAGCATGCAGAACTGGATGTTACCCTGGGTCACTAGTGAGTGAATACAAGGGATGAAGATATTGCTTCACACAAGTGTAGACTTGATACACATGATACACTTAGTAACACTAAAATGAAAATATATTTTATATCCTTAATAACAAGTTCTATCTGAAAGATAGAAGTCTGTGATGTAAGAGTTGATTTCATTGGTGACTTCTCTGGTGACCTTGCAGAATTCATCTTTTGTCATCCTTCTGTAGTACTCTTACACCAAGTCCTCAAGGTAGTGGGTCTTCAGACAAATAGCAGGGATAAGAAGTGGTAAAATCGCAACAGGAATTAAGTTATAGGGTGGCAACAGGAATCAGGGTGTTCCTTTCTGTTGAAGGCAGCACCTGCCCCAAAGCAGGACTGCAGCTAGGACTAGTCAAAGTTCCTCTCAGTTTCTTTGGACTTACAGGGCCACACATGGAGGAAGGTGAAAGCCAGAGCTTCTCTCTCCCAAACCCCTACCATACTGAAAGAGTTGGAGACCCAGAGTTATTCAGAGATTCCTCAGCCTCCTGTGGGTAGGGTGTCAATGGAAACCCTCTCAATTATTGTGACCCAGTATGCATAGGTGGTAGGGCTGGCAGAAACCATGTGAGCATCAGACTTCAGTGCTGGGACTGCTGCATCCCAAGCACTGCTGCACCCCAAGCACTGCCAGCCAAGCACTTGGTCTCAGAACGCCAGTGATCTGACCCTTACCTCTTGAGGGTGGCAGCCTCCATTCCATTTTATGTTGCAACACCTTTCCCTGATGGTGCAGGGCATCCAGCCCGCTTAAGTCACAGTCACTCTGCTTGCCCAAGGTGCATTTGTGAGACCGCTGCCCCCAAATCAGTGCAATGCAATATCTATGGAGCTCCTGAGATGGGAATATATAGGTGTTTAGGAGCCATAGAGCAATCCAAACTCAGATAATATTTCACATCTCAAGATAGCTCTTGACTATGGCACCCTGAGAGAGTATAGGAAATCCTTTTCCAAAGCCAGGGTATTGAGTAGATTTCAGGTTCTCTAAGTTGGATGCAGGCCGAGCGTGATTGCAAAATGATCTAGTAGCTGAGATTTTGAGTATCCATACTGAAAGTGTGTACTGGGAATCATTTTAACCCTTATTCCTGGCACAGGGATCTCTTGTTCTGTTAACTGTGGACACAGGAGTGAATGTAGCAGGGCATTTTATTTCACTTACTGTACTGTTGTCCTAGGTCTCTCAATCTTACAAACTTCCAATCTCTTTGTTGCTGATTTCCAGTATTCTTCCATGGTCCCTCACATCCAAGTGCTGCTGTACATCTATTCTTTTATTTCATCTTTCTGGAGGAGTTGAAGGTCAGATATCTCTACTTACCCATTTTCAATGTTCTGTTGTTGATTTTTAGATCCACAGCATAATATCCTATTATGCGGATGTGCTAAACTTTGTCCTCACTATTCATAAATGCATGAATATTTGGTTTGTTTCCAGACAGGCTATTACAAATAAACCTTCAGGAAAAACCTGCATAGAGACTTTTAAATAAAATAATTTTGCAGCCTCTGGGATACCTGCAGGGTTGATAAAGGATGTACCTTTTTTCAGAGAAGGTGAATCATTTTTCTTTACAATAAAGAATGAATGAAGAA